CAGATGGGTGGCTGAAAGACAAGAAGCTGGGACTCAGTGCAGGCAGCGCGCCAAGTCGCATCTAGCGTGCGCAGGTGGGCGGCCAGGGGGGTCAGGGCAGGGGATCGTACCGTCGAGGTGGACGCCCAAGGAGTGGCCATCCTGCCGCTGACCAGTGAGGTGACGGAGGAGGTCGACGAGCCACGTGCCGAACTCGACCGGCTGGCCCTCCGCGTCGAAGCGCAGCACCGAGTCCGCCATCAGGGTCGGTGCGGCGGCAGAAGGGCGGGGCAGTACAGAAAAGTGCGGTGCAGTGCGGTAGAGTGCGGTAGAGTGCGGTACAGTGCGGTGCAATGCATTGCAAGGTGATGCAGTACGGTGCAGTGCAGTGCAGGGCGGTGCTGGGCGGTGCAGTGCGGTGCGGGTCAGCGCGGGCCGGCTGGAAGGCGAGGCCGGCTGGGCGACGGGTCCGACGCGGTGACGGGGTCAGCTAGGTAACGGGGCCAGCTATCTGGCGGAGTCGGCTCGGCGTGGTCAGCTACGCGACGGGGCCGGCTTCGGGAGAGGGCCGGCGATGGGACGGGGCCGGCTGCAGGATCGGGCCGGCTAGGGGAACGGGCCGGCGGCGGGACGGGGGCGGCTACGGGGATGGGGCCGCGGGGCCGTGGGTCGATGGGGCCAAGGGGCCGCTAGGGGACGGGGCTGTTGGGCCGCTGGTCGACGGGGCTGAGAGGCCGCTAGGGGACGGGGCCGCGGGGCCGCTACGGGACGGGGCCGCGGGGCCGTTGGTCGACGGGGCCGAGGGGCCGTTGGTCGACGGGGCCGAGGGGCCGCTAGGGGACGGGGTCGCGGGGCCGCTAGGGGACGGGGCCGCGGGGCCGCTAGGGGACGGGGCCGCGGGGCCGCTAGTCGACGGGGCTGAAGGGCCGGTAGGGGACGGGTCCGCTGGGCCACTAGGGGACGGGGCCGAGGGGCCGCTAGGAGACGGGGCCGCGGGGCCGCTAGGAGACGGGGCCGCGGGGCCGCTGGTCGATGGGGTCGAGGGGCCGCTACGGGACGGGGCCGCGGGGCCGCTGATCGACGGGGCCGAGGGGCCTCTAGGGGACGGGGCCGCATGGCCGCTAGGAGACGGGGCCGCGGGGCCGTTAGGGGACGGGGTAGGCGAGACGGCTAGGAGCTACGGCGGAAGCGCTGGTGGGCGAAGGGGACCTAACCTACTCATGATACCATAACAAACTGAAAGAATGACTAGAATGTGAGAGTACAAGACATTATAACCTAGGGGGCTGTACTCTCTAAGGCACAACCCTATATGGTCTACAACATCACACACAAATGTGTTTTACATGTTGTACCCTCTACAATAGGATCCAGTAACACCTACCATGCCTACAATTATATATATATATAATATATATAATTTAACACAAGGGTTTTTCATGGGGGATGAAAATAGAAACAAAGCCATGTCGAGCCTACGACGGAGCTATTTATCTCAGTAATACTCTTACAAATAACATCAAGGCCGTTTTCTCTTAAACGGAACTCAAAGTTACTGCAAGTTGTCAATACGCTCTTTAGCGTTTTCACTAATGCAATGTGATATAGAAGGCAAAAAGTTCAAGCAGATTTATAGTGAAAAGTAAAAGGAAAAACGGGGTTCGTTGCTGCTGGGGGGCAGCGAGTAGCGCAGCAAACCTCGTGTTACTCTGAGTCGCAGCGAGTCACGAAGCCGCAACAACCTTCCCAAACATACCCTCGGTGTGCTTGCAGAACACTTCCCAGACTGAACCCCCATTTCTCTTCGTTCTTCTGTTTCTCTCGACTTCAACCACTTTCTTGCTCCCATGAGCCACTTAGGGCGGGTAGCCTGAGTTCTTGGACCTGAATTCCGTCCGAGTTTTAGTGTGGTGACTTTTTTCGCCACTGTTCTCATTGTTCGCAACAGATGCTTGCGAAGGTTCCGAAACTAGGGCGACGAAACCTTAGGCTACACACCCTTAGGCCGCGGCTCGTCCCCGAGTCACTTGATTGGCTTGGGTACAAATGAATACGGCCTCGGGCATCATTTGAGTGTCTGTGGTGATTCTCGCGCTTTCAGCAATTCTCATGCTTTCAGCAATTCTCACGCTTCATGCCAGCTCCTCATTCTCCCGCTCCTCTTCCACCCATCTTTCTCACCCCTTTTCCGCTATACAGCACCCCCTCATTCAAGAAATATATCATTTTCCCTCCCTCTCGCACACGAATCTACTACTAATAGTACTAGCTACACGGACCGACACGCCGTCATGCTATTTGGGCCGTAGTACGGCCGCCGTTACTAAACGGAACCCGCGTCCCTCCAGTAGCTGTCCTCGGAACCCGCGACCTCGATGATGACACACCAACCATCCGTCAACACGACGCTCGCCCTTCCAGGTACGTCACGCACCGTCCCAAAAATTGGGGACCGGAAACCTATGCACCTGCTTCGCACGTTCGCGGAAGTGCTATGCACCTACTATGCTCGTGAAGGCTATGTCTAAACGTGTTCATCAGTGAAGCATAAACATAGTTCCGAAATGCAAAGCTCATACAAAGCACCTACTTAGTGCGAGGAATGTCGAGGTGCATTGCGTTTACATTGTCCATGCTGATCGTCGTGCTATGATGTTGCGCTAGACGTAGCATGCGCTATGCATGTGCTTTGTGTGCTTGCGTCATTGCTATATTGATGCTATGCAGACACATAGTATTTCAAGCCTGAAGCATTCCCGCCACAATTCATGTTATTTTATATCTAGTACACTAGGTGCAGTAATTCTGTATTTACATATTCATATAACATCTTGATAGCACAAATAAAAATACAACAAAATTGAACTACAAATTCCGCACTTCCGTAGCTCGATTTCGGGAAGGTGACAGATCATGAGAACGGGATAAAAGCGGTGACATGGAAGCGGATCCCGTTCAACGGCTATTTCCACCATGCCTTCAAATTTGCTTCATCAAGGTCGTGACTGGGTTCTGTCCACTCTTGTCCAGAGCCCTGCATGCCAGCTGAGTACAGGGCAAAGAATGCAAGGCGACAAGACAGGTAAAATTCTAACAGCATAATTCAACTTACGGATTTCGGCATACAGTATTAGTACAATCAAAATCTTGTCCAGCAAACAGGAAACCGGGACCGGAGGGTGAGTTGATAAGAGAAATAGGACGGGAAACGACGGAGTCAGGATACATTTAGACTTACCGTTTAGGCCGTCATGGTGATAGTGCCCGGATCGAGGATCGCGGCTGGTACACCATGCGGAGGTGCTGCCTTTTGACATAAGATTTTTCTTGATGAGGAACCTGCAACGAAGTAAGAAAAACCAAAGTTATTAGTCAGCAGAAAGGGGCTGTACTGTGGAACGCTATAAAAACGACGAACGGTATAACTACCGATACGCAGGAACGAAAACGCCACGGCTCCTACTCAGTGCAGTCTTAGATCTAGGAGTTCAGAGTGGTATGAAAATGGAGAAGGAAGACAACCGGGTGGGAGAGCAAAGTCTAGAAATAAGGAAGAGGGTTCTGAGCGCATGATGGGTCATATGAGAAGGAATTGAGACGTGAGGTGAGGAGTTTCTGTGGCTACATATTCTGGGTGTGGGTTGATAAGGGGGTGATGTGGTGGTAGGGGATTGGTCAGAAGTTGGTTGCACAATTTTTGCTGGCTCGACCGTTCTTTGGTACGATACGAAGTGTCTCGTTTCTAAGAAATCTGTGTTGCGTCTCTTTTACGGTCGCAATAAACAATCGCAAATTATACAGCTCCCCTACCCAGTTTGTCGAACTGATTTTCCCTTTCGCGAAGCGTGTCGAGTTTTCGCCGAAGCGCGTCGAGTTTTCGCCGACCATATTTTCGCCCATATTTTTTTGAAGCGCGTCGAGTTTCCATTGACCAATTACAGACGAGAAATTTGGTCTCTCTCGTGTTTTCTGATTGGCTGGTACGATATTTGTCCTTGGCCAATCACAACCGACCCAGCACGCTGCTCTTGGCCTAGGCAACCCGTGCTTCTTTGGTATGGTCGTTGGGATGTGGCTAGAATGAAGCGGAAACCTACAGAACGCTAATAATTCGCCACGGTAGCGGATATGTTTAGGTTTGGAGGGCCCGAGGAAGCGGGGACATAGGGCCTCTGGACAAAGCCTTTGCCAATGTGGACTTTGCTCCCACGAAGCCTTCGTCCCTGCTTCATTCCCATTTCCTCTCAACCTCGTCCAGGGGGACTTCGTAAACCCTTTGTCACAAATGTCCAACCCAACCCCGATTCACATTTTTGGGATGACGTCACTCCCTTCCTTGTGCTCGCCCGACGCGGTAAACGGACGGCGGTCCCTTTCCCCTGTCATACCACATCCCAAAAATGTTTGGTCCGTATACTATGTTCAAACATGTTTTGCAACATTGCAAATACAAAGTCGCTAAACATGTTTGGGCCTTTGAATGTTTGGGATGCAGCCTTTTTCGCCGACGTACCAGCCATTTCCCCCGTCGTACCAGCCATTCCCCCCATCGTACCAGCCATTTCCCCCATCTTACCAGCCATTTCCTCCATCGTACCAGCCATTTCCTGTTAGGGTGGTTCGCCGCTGCCCTACCGTCCTATTCCTATGCCTAACGAGGATGCGGCGATGCTAGGACGGTGTGAGAACCGCCCATCTCGTTCCAAGGAAAGTGATGTTGAAATAGCAAGGCGGATGACAAGGGAAAGAATGACGACGGGAAGAAAAACAGGAATCCTAACTGCAGCGGCGGAAGTGGCGGAACAGCGGTGGAGCTAGGAAAATCAGCAAGGAAGAAATTGAAGAAATCGGTAGAAAAAAACCTAAGAAATGAAGGTGCTTGAGGTTGCTCTAGGTGATGCGTGAGTGCGGGGAAACGGTAGATCGGAAATGCTTTCTGCTGCCTTATTACCGAAATCCGTTTCCGTGATTGCCAGAATTCCGAGGTTGCACAGTACACCAGCAGCGTTACGCGAACCGCGCAAGCTTTCTGCCTGCTTATAAATGCTTGTTTGTTTCTTGTTCAAACACAACTCATTTTCAGTGCAAATTCTCCCCTAGAAACTGCTAAAACTTTCTACGTCAACTAAGTCTCTCAACCGTCAGCCGGAGGCGCTTGCAATCCTATAGCTGGTATCAGAGCCTCGTTATAGTCACATTACGCCTCACTATAAGGGCGTTGGAGCTGTGGAAGTCCTAAGTCTTAGAACTGAAGTGTTTGAATAGAGAGAGAATACAATCGTATATACCTAAGAGTGTTGTACCCTCTAAGAGGCGACCCTATACAGTCTATACAAACATGAGTTATGCTTATGTTTGACACACCCCCTAGACTGCATAGGGGAATGACCTGAACAAGCAGCTCAGGGCGGCACTACTAGTCCAACCTCTGAGACAAGGGTCTAAAAGACCAGTCAGACGGAGTTGAGACAAGGCAAGAACAAGACCAGGGCGGCACTACTAGTCCAGCCACTGAGAGAGGACACAAGTCCAGTCTGAGTATGCATATAAAGGACAGTACAAAGTCAAGGCCCTAGCAAGTGAGAGGCTACACGAACTAGACCAAGCTGTACGCAGTGCCGCTGATGATCTTTAGGCGCAAGCGCCTTCGTAAAGATATCAGCTGTGTTGACACCTGAGGCCAAGTGTACTACGCGAGCCTGGCGTCGCTGCTGTAGCTCGCGCAGGAGGAAGTACCGCAGCTGAATATGCTTCGCTCTGCCCTCGAGTCGAGGCTCCTGACACAGGAGGATCATGGCCCTGTTGTCAGCGAACAGGACCGGGGCAGAGCTAGGCTGCTCACCTAAGTCAGCGAGCAAGAAGGTCAGCCAGCGGAGCTCCTGTGCCGCCATGGCAGCGGCGTAGATCTCAGCCTCACAGCTGGACTGGGCAACAGACGAGGAGCGGGTAGCTCTCCACGAGACAGCACCTGAGCCAAGGCTGAAGCAGTAGCCCTGGGTAGACCGGAGTGTCTCGGCATCGTCTGCCCACGAAGCGTCTGTGTGTCCAGTAAGGACCACTGGCCTGCGTCCTCCTAGCACTAACCCCATGCCCGATGTACTAGCAAGATAACTCAAAACCCTCTTAGCTGCTGACCAGTGCTGCGGTCGGTGTCTGCCTGTGGCCACAAAGCGAGCCAGGATGCTGAGAGGGTACGCGAGATCTGGGCGAGTGCAAGTCATCAGGTACATGAGGCAACCCACCAGCTCTGCGTAGGGGCCGCTGGGCTCTACCGACTCCTCAGACACTGGAGCCGAGAGTCTATGGTCTACAGGCAGAGGGGTGGGTTGTGCAGAGGAGAACTGAAGGCTGAACCTCTGAAGGACCTGGCGCACCAAGTGTGACTAAGTCAGGGTGATGGTGTGCGCTGCTCTGTCCCTGGAGATCTGCAAGCCAAGGTAACGGCGCAGTTCTCCAAGGCCAGTGCACGTGTGTCTCTTCAGCAGCTCTGCCTTCACGGAGGCTAGTGCGTCCTTGTCTGCTGTGGCAAAGACCAGGTCGTCGACGTAAACAAGGATGTAGAACGGAGTCTGGCCAGCACGAACGAAGAGTGAGGGGTCTACGGAAGACAGAAAGAACTGCAGGTCAGCAAGCGTAGTACGGAGAGTGTCGTGCCACTCACGGGGAGCCTGGCGCAGGCCGTAGACGGGGCGCCGCAGGAGCCACTGGGTCCCCGGAGCGAAGGTGCCAGTAAAGCCCTGAGGGCGACGCAAGTAGACCTGCTCGTGTAGGCTGCCCTGAAGGAAGGCAGTGGAGAAGTCGAGGGAGTGAAGCTCGTAGTCACGCTGCGCAGCTAGGTGTAACAGAACCCGAAGAGTAGTCATCTTCGGGGTCGGAGCGAAGGTCTGGAAGAAGTCCACCCACTCACGCTGACTGAAGCCTCTAGCCACGTAGCGCGCCTTGAACACAGGCGGCTCTCCAAAAGGGCGCTTCACCTTGAAGAGCCAGCGGCCATCGACTACGTTCACCCCAGGCGGGGGAACTGCGTCGACGAAGGTGCCGGTGGATCTCCAAGATGCCATCTCCTGCTCCATGGCAGCTATCCACTGAGAGGCCCAAGGTCCCGAGGTCGCCTCAGCGTAAGTGCGAGGGGTCGGGATGTCGAAAGCGTCTGGGTCACCCTCAGGGACTAGCAGCATGGAACAGAGATGGGGAGCAGCCTCGGACAGGAAAGCAAGCTCGAACTGGCGGTCCTCCAGGACGTCACTGCCAAGGGCAGGAGCACCCCCGACAGACGGAGGAGAGGCAGGGTCAGAGACCAGAGCGGTGGCGTAGTTAAGGCGGCGGGTAGAGGCAAAGTCAGCGACCCCAGCAACAAGAGCGTCAAAGCACGAGACCGGAACAGACGGGTCGGTAACGAGAGAGGCAAGGACCCGAGGAACAAGAGGACGAGCGGTACGAAGGTAGTCAGACAGCGGGGGGGGTGCAACAACAAGGGAGGACGGAGGAGGCGACGGGAGAAGGGGAGGACGAGACGTGTGGGAACGAAGCAACATAGGGTGGGAGCGCAAGACAGGCGAGGCAAGACGAGCACGGGAGGGACGGTGAGACCAGACGTGCGACGGAGGAGTCGGGTCAGGAGACAGGGGAGGGGACACAGGAGGGGAACGAGGAGGAAGATGGGCCGGGGACGAGTCCAGCGGAGGGAACACGGGGCCGTAGACGGGAAGAGGAGGAGACGGTCGGAGAGGAACAGCCGCAGGGTCAGGGGACGGAAGGCCGAGCAGGCAAAGGGCTGACACCGGCGGGGACTGCTGCTGCGGCGGCACAACGGCGACACCGGGACTGCAAGCGGCTCCGCGGCTACCACCGGCACACTCCACACCAGCACCCCCAGAGGATCCACCCCCAGGGCTACCGGGACTAGCACCCCCAGAGTCAACGAACGGGTGCTGCGACGGCGGCGGCGGCGGCGGCAGCAACAACGACGGCTGCAGCGGCGGCAGAGGCGCTGGAGGAGGGGACTGGGGAGGGGACGCCGGGGGAGGGGCGGCCGGCAAGGACTGCGCAGCAGGGCCACCAGAGTCAGAAGACTCCTCAACCGGGTCCACCGACGGAAGGGGGGTGACGTGGGACACACCAGAGGGGGCAGGACGGGGAGGAGGAGGGGGAGGGGCAGGGACTACCGGGGAAGGAGTGACCACGAACAGGGGGGGGGTAACCGGGGGACCGCGGTGGGGGAAGCGACGGTAGTAGGAGACGGACTCGTCAAAGGTGACGTCGCGAGAGTGAAAGAAGCGGTGAGACGGCGGGTGGTAAAAGTGCCAGTCGGACGCGTCAAGGGGAAAGCCGAGGAAGACGCAGGGAAGGGTGCGGGCAGTGAGCTTGTCCGTGCCGGAGGCACGGACGTGAGCATGGCAGCCCGAGACGTGGAACGCAGACGCGTCACCAGGAGACCCAGTCCAAAGACGGGTCGGCGAAACCTGCGGCTGCTGAGGGTGTGGCCACTGGTTAAGCTGGTGAGAAGCGTAGTGCACAGCGAACGGCCACAAAAAATGGGGTGCACCGGCATGGATCATGGAGGTGCGAGCCACCTCCATGACCAAACCGATGCGTCCATCAGTGACCCCATTCTGCTGTGGGGAGTCCGGTAGGGTGAACGTCTGGGTGATGCCCTCCGCACGACAAAAGCGACCAAGGACACCTGAGGCAAACTCGCCACCACGGTCGGAGTGAAGACGCAAGACAGCGAGACCACGGTGGACACGCGCAGAGACAAGCCAGGGGATGAGAGCGCCAGACACGTCGGCCTTGCGCTCCAGGGGAAAGACTGTGGTGTAGCGAGTAAAGTCGTCGACTAGCAAGGAAGTAGCGCTTGCGACGTGGCCCAGGGACGGGGGCGGGGCCCCAGACGTCCAGGTGCAGGGTCTGCAGCGGCGCGGCGGTAGGGGGAAACGAGGAGGAGTGAGGGGCACGGCGAAGCCGACCCTCGACGCAAGGCGTGCAAGGTGGGGCGGGGGAGGAGGGAAAAGCGGGGAGAGAACCAGGGAGACCAAGGACGAGACCGTGCTGGGACATGTAACGCAGACGCGGGAGCGCAGGGTGAGCTAGGCGGTGGTGCCAAAGGAGAGTCGGGTGAGTGAGGGACCAACAGGAGCAGGCAGCAACAACCTGGGTAGACGCAGCCACCGGGGGGGTCACGGTGTCCAGGGTGAAGAGGTCGGACACTGGGTCCCGGGGGAACGTGGACAGGGGGGCACCAATGGCGGCCTCGGTACAGACAGCATACCGCTCGTGACCAGGGAACGTAGTAGTGACGCCAAGGTCCTGGAGGCAGCCGACACCAACTAGGTTCCTGGAGAACGAGGGGATATGCAGACCTGTAAGAGTGCCCGAAGGAACCGCCGGACAGGGAAGGGTGGTGGAAATGCGGGCGACTACCGGACCGCCGGAGGGGTCAGCAAGAGAAACGGCAGCAGGAACAGGAAGCGGCGTCAGTGTGGTGAAGTCGCGGAAGAAACACCGGGAAGCACCAGAGTCCAAGGTGAAGGAAAGCGAAGCAGAGGCGTCTGGCAACGGAACGACGGCGGAAGCACCAAGACTACACAAAGCAGGGGATCCTACGCCTGACGCAGCAGGGGAGGCTAAGCTAGGCACACCTATACTATCCGACAGTGAGTAATAAGCGGGAAGCACACTAGAGTCATCAGCATACATCACATGCAGAGCAGAAACAATGGCATCCATGTCCACGTCAAAAATCTGAATCTTACGACTAAGCAAACTGTGCCAGTCCGGAAGGTCTGGTGACGGGCCGAAGCGCTGACGAAACAGGTCGTCCAGGCGACGAAAACAGCGGGGAGTGGAGTGACCGATCTTACCGCAAACGAAGCCGCGGCGAGGACCGGTCTGGATCTGGTACTGACAACGCACGCCTCCAAAACCACCACTCAGCACACCACCACGCGCCCGACCACCGCCAGCGCCGGGCCACCCGGGCGGGAGGACACTCGTCTGCCGCGTCTGCGGCGGCTGCTGCGACTGCGGCGGCTGCTGCGGCTGCTGCTGCTGCTGCTGCGACTGCAGGGGCGGCGGCTCAGCTGGACGAGGCAGGGTCCCCTCGTCCGCTCCAGCACCAGACGACCCGACTCCACCACCACCCCTTCCCGCACCCCCGCCTCCTCCGCCGCGCCCAACCTTGGGGCGGCGGCCCTTCCCCGAATGAAACTGCGCTGCAGCAGCAGTCTCAGCCACAGCGGCAGAGCCGTCGGAGAAAGTACACTGAGCGGGGGCACAACCCTGAAAGATAGGGACCGGCACGGTACCGCTCGCCTGGGCGATGGAGCGGTGGCGGGTCTCAATCACAGTCAGGGTGTCTACAAAGTCAGTGAGGGTGAGGTCTGCGGGGTGAATGCTAAGGAAGCGGTCGCGGGCGACAGCAAGGCGGTCAGGGAGGCAGGTGGCAAGCAGGTAAAGGGTAGAGGTAATGGGCGGCTGGTGGGCTCTAAGCTGTGCGTCAGTGCAGGCAGCGCGCCAGGTCTCATCTATCGAGCGCAGGTGGGCAGCGAGGTCAGAGACAGTGGGGAAAGACGCAAGGTCAGGAAAGAGCATCGGGAGGATCAGGCGACCCACCGAGGCAGCCGGAGGGGTGGAATAGCGCTTGATGACAGCATCTAAGTAAGCCTGGGCAGTAGTGAGGGACCTAAAGCGGGGGCGCTCGGACGGGGGAAGGGCATTGCTAATGGCAAGCTGAGCGACAGCATCTCGAGAAAGCCAGACAGAGCGCGCACGGGCAGTGGCAGCAGTAGACTCGCGCTCAGTGGGTGCGGAGTCAGCGGGCAGAACAGCAGGGGGGTCTGGGCAGGGGAGCGTACCGTCAAGGTGTGCGGAAAGCGGTTCACCATCCTGCCGCTGGCCAGTGAGTTGACGCCGGAGGTCGGCAAGCCACGCCTCGAACTCCAGAGGCTGGCCTTCAGCGTCGAAGCGAAGCTCCGCCGCCATCAGGGGCAGTGCAGGACTGTACAGTGCGGTGCAGTGCGGTGCAGTGCAGAGCAGGGCAGTGCAGTGCGGTGCGGTGCGGTACAGTGCGGTACAGTGCGGTGAAAGGTGGTGGAGAGCCGTACCAGGGAGAGTGCAGATCGGACGGTCGTAGGGCCGGCAAGGAAGGGCCGGAAGTCGACGCGGGGCCGGCAGGGACAAGCGCGGGAGCCGGCTCGGACGGGCGCGGGACCGGCAGGGACGGGCGCGGGGCCGGCTGGAACAGGCGCGGGGCCGGCTGAGACGGGCGCGGGGCCTGTTGGGACAGGCGCGGGGCCGGCTGGGACGGGTGCAGGGGCGGCCTGGACGGGCACGAGGGGCCGGCTGGGACGGTCGCGGGGCCGGCTGGAACAGGTGCAGGGCCGGCTGGGAGGGGCACGGGGCCGGCTGGGACGGACGCGGGGCCGGCTGGGACGATCGCGGGGCTGGCTGGGACGGTCGCGGGGTCTGCTGGGACGGTCGCGGGGCCGGCTGGGACGGGCACGGGGTCGGCTGGGACGATCGCGGGGCCGGCTGGGACGGTCGCGGGGCCGGCTGGGACGGGTGGGGGTCCGGCTGGGACGATCGCGGGGCCGGCTGGGACGGTCGCGGGGCCGGCTGGGACGGTCGCGGGGCCGGCAGGGACGGTCGCGGGGCCGGCTGGGACGGGCGTGGGGCCGGCTGGGACGGTCGCGGGGCCGGCGGGGACGGTCGCGGGGCCGGCTGGGACGGTCGCGGGGTCTGCTGGGACGGTCGCGGGGCCGGCTGGGACGATCGCGGGGCCGGCTGGGACGATCGCGGGGCCGGCTGGGACGGTTGCGGGGCCGGCTGGGACGGTCGCGGGGCCGGCTGGGACGGTCGCGGGGCCGGCTGGGACGGTCGCGGGGCCGGCTGGGACGGTCACGGGGCCAGCTGGGACGGTCGCGGGGCTGGAGCGACGGACTAGGAAGCGCGACGGGCTAGGAAAGGCGCGACGGGCTAGGAAAGGCGCGACAGGCTAGGTAAGGCGCGACGGGCTAGGAGTCGCACGACAGGGCCAGGAGGCACCAACGGGGGGCTCCGGAGGGGCGGGACGGGTGCTAGGGGGCGCGACGGGCCCAGGGGAGCGTGACGGGGCCCAGGGGGCGCGACGGGGCCCAGGGGGGCGTGACGGGGCCCAGGGGGGCGTGACGGGGTCCAGGGGACGCGACGGGGCCCAGGGGGGCGCGACGGGCCCAGGGGGGGGCGCGACTGGTCCTAGGTGACGCGACGGGGCCCAGGGGGGCGCGACGGGCGGGGGTAGAGCCTAGGGCGGAAGCGTGGGGGGGCGGTGGGACCTACCTACTGCTGATACCATCTTAGAACTGAAGTGTTTGAATAGAGAGAGAATACAAGCGTATATACCTCAGAGTGTTGTACCCTCTAAGAGGCGACCCTATACAGTCTATACAAACATGAGTTATGCTTATGTTTGACACTAAGTGCCTTGCAGAGGCAAAGGGAGAGTTGGAGCCATGGGGAATGGAGATGCTGAGGCTAGTTCAGGGTCATCCGTGAACCCTGGCAGCTCTCCAATGCAGAGGTTCCTGGATGCTCTTGCTCGAGGGCATGTGGTGGCCAAACCGACGATCGGCCTGAGTGAAGCGCAACGCTTCAATGGAGCGAACTACGGCACTTGGAGGCTGAAGTTCATGAGGCGCGCAAGGGAGGTGGGGCTGTGGCATCTCGACCACCCTTCGGCAGCGACGGAGGAAGATGGTCCTCCACCTGAAACAGCACAAGAGAAGAAGGCATACAAGAAACGGTGTTTGCAAGCTTTCTTCCAACTCTGTCATTCAATCTCTAATGGCATTGCTGGAGGGTTGGACAAGTTTGCTGGAGAAGAAAATGCAGCAGAGAACGCATGGCTCTTCATGGAAAAAATATACATGGCGAAGAGTGAGGCAAAGATGGCTGCTACAAGGAAGAAGCTTCTATTGCTACGCAAGGAGCCATCAGAGACCATGGTGGACTATGTGACTCGAGCACGAGGCTACAACGACGATTTGACAGCCATGGGCGTGCCAGAAACAGAGAGGCAAATGATGAGCTACATGATCAGTGGCATGCTAAGGGACTGGGCATCTGAAAAGGGCACCCTGATCTGCCGTCATCCCACAGACTTGACTGACCTCTTGGATGACTTGCAGCAGTTGGAGCTGATCCGAGCGGATGATGAACGCAAGGATGTCATGGCTGAAAATTCCAGCAGTGACAAACCTGCACATCTGAATGCAACCGGGACAACAAGAACATTTGGGCCATGTTTCCAGTGTGGAAAGAAGGGCCACAAAGCTGCCGATTGCTACTCCAACCCAAGGAGCAAGAATTTCAAAGGGATGGGAGCAACCGGAAAAGGAACCAGCGAAGGAGCAAGTGGAGATGGACAACGGCTGCGAAGCGGGTTTGCTGGAACGTGCAACTATTGCCACAAGTATGGCCACAAGGCAATATACTGCTATCCAATCCTACAAGCAAAAACTACAGGGGTGGACAGCAGCAGTACAAACCTCATTCACCTGCGAAAGCCAACGTTGCAGAGGCGAACAACGGCGATGAAGACGTGATTCTTGGAGGTGCACACAAGGCCAATGTTGCACGTGCTTCTGGAGCGTGCCTGCTAGCAACAGGGCTGAAGGGACAGGAGTGGTACATGGACAGTGGATGTACCCAACACATGACCAATCAAGAAGGTTGGCTGCAAGATTTCAGAGCTTCTACGGTCCCATATGTGCTGCTGGGAGATGAAGGGCAGCTTCCAGTGAAAGGGGAAGGAGATATGGTGTTACAAGGGGCATATGGAGAGTTAAAGTTGGACAACGTGTTGCTGGTGGACCGATTGACTCTGAATCTACTCAGTCAATCACAGCTGGACAACAGCGGATGCAAGACCTACAGTGACAAGGGGCGCCTATGGGTGTTCGGCCCTGACTGGAAGGTGCTAGCGGAAGGCGCACGCAAGCAAGGGCTGTACGAGATGAAGCTACTTGAAAAGCAGAAAGATGGTGCAAGATCTACATGCCTTGCTGAGCCGGAGGAAGGGAAGACAGCAAGGGACGAGCTTCGTACCATGCTAGAGAAGACGCCCATCAAAGAACTCCAGCAGCAAGCTCCTCCCAACGCAGCAACGGTGACACCAGTGGACGTCAACCTGCTGCACCGAAGGCTGGGGCACGCTGGACATACGCGCATCAAGGAGTTGATCAAGAAAAACATGGCAGTGAGAGTGAAGGTGACAGAGGATACAGAAAAAGAGCTGAGTTGCACCTCCTACGTGGAAGGAAATACCAAGACTTCTCACCCCAAGCATGAGGTTCGGGAGCCATACAACATACTTGACATCGTGGCTGCCGACGTTTGTGAGCCGATGAGGGCGGCTTCCCGACATGGCAGCAAGTACTTTGTTACCTTTACCGACCTTGGCACACGACATACATGGGTGACGGAGATCAAGAACAAATCTGAAGTGTTCGCGAGCTTCCTCGACTGGAAGGCTGAAGCGGAAAGGCAAAGCGGAAGGAAACTAAAAGTACTAAGGACCGACAATGGTGGCGAGTTCATCAATCAAGAGTTCAAGAGCTACTTGAAGTCAAAGGGCATTCGGCGGCAACTAACGGTGCCGCACACTCCTCAACACAACAGCATAGCAGAGCGGGTGAACCGATCTCTACTGGAAAGTGTAAGAAGCATGCTGGCAGATAGCGGACTGCCTCTACACTATTGGGGTGACGCACTCGGCATGGCATGTTGGCTGAAAAATCGACTACCGACTAAGGGACTTGTAGCCGACATCACACCCCACGAGGCGTTCTACAAGCGCAAGCCAAACCTGGAGTTCTTACGTATATGGGGTTGCATAGTGCAGTACCGGGAGCCGGCGGGACCCGACCACAAGCTCCTACCTCGAACCAAGTGGGGAATCTACTTGGGAATCTGCCCAGAGAGCAAAGGTTGGATTATAAGGGATGTGGAGACAGGCAAGGTGACGGCAACCAGAGATGTCACCTTCTACGAGCTTGACACCTATTTGGAGTGGAAGGGAAGGAAGACGGGGGCTGCAGCTGAGAACAAAAGAGCAACAAAGGAACCGACGGCAGCATCACCATCTCCGGTTGAGGAGATGATGGATGTGAATGGCAAGGAAGGAATAGGGGCAGCAAATGATTACACTGAAGATGAAGACTACGACGACTACCCAAGTGCAGGGGTGGATTGGGTGTGGGAGGTCCCGGAGCAGCCAGCACCACCCAAGGAACCAGAGGATGAAAGGGAGCGCAACCAGGAAAAGGAAAGAACTGGTGGGATCCAGGGAGAGAGTGCTGACCAAGATGAAGCAGAAAATCAGCATGGGCATGATGGAGAGGAAGAAGTGGACGACGCTACAAGCTCGGACCACACCAACCCGTGGAAGCTGATCAATTCAAAAAGCAATGACAAGGCAGCAGCAGAAATTGAAGGCCTACTTGAGGAAGGCGCTATTCTCATCGGACGGGAACTTGATGAAGACTCAGTGGAGCAAGGGCTAAACAATGGAGCTGTAGCCCAAATGGGTGGAGCTGAAAAGAGGAAGGAAGAATTGGGCAGAGGGAAACGGGTAAAGAAACCCACTCCCCGGTATGCCCAAATCCTCATGACACCATGGAAGGATGTTCATACTCACCTTCTACTCACAATGTCGGCAACCGCACTTGTCTCCAAGGAGAGGAGGAAGGCATACAACCTGCCCTCCGAGCCAGTCACAGTTGAAGAAGCGTTGACCGGTCCCTATCGGAAGCAGTGGTGGGCAGCAATACAAAAAGAGCTGAACACACTTGCGGAAAGAGGAACGTGGGAGATGGTGCACATGCCGGCCGGAAGAAACTCAGTGGGAGTTCGCTGGATTTTCAAGATCAAAACCGGAGATATGGGGCAGCTTGAACGCTTCAAGGCCCGACTTGTTGCAAAGGGATATACTCAAGTGGAGGGAGAGGACTACATAGATACCTACGCACCTGTGAGCAAGTTGACCACAGCAAGGACGATGCTGAAAGTAGTAGCGGCACGTGGGTACTTTATGGTTCAACTCGATATCAAGAATGCCTACCTTAATGGCGTCTTGAAGGAAGATGTCTACATGGAGCAGCCGCCAGGTTTTGAGGACGGCACGGACAGAAAATGCAAACTAATCAAAGCTCTCTATGGGCTGAAACAAAGCCCTAGGGAGTGGTACCAAACCATGGATGCACAGCTGATGAAGGGCGACTTCGTCAAGAGCCAATGCGACCGAGCGTTCTACTGGAAGGGAGAAGGGGAAGACAAGGTCTTCCTACTGCTCTACGTCGATGACATCCTAGTGGCGGGAGCAAAGGACGAGAGAGTGAAGGAGGTGTGCACTCACCTTGCAGCAGTGTTCCAAGTGAAGAAGATCCCAAGAGCATCTCTCTTCCTTGGGATGAATCTGGAGCGGAATAAGGAGGAGAAGAAGTTGCTGCTATACCAAAAGAAATACTGCCAGAGGTTGCGGGAGAGGTTTGGAGGGCACGGCACATCAAAAGTGGTGTCAACACCTCTCAGCAGCCTTGCACACAAAGAAGTGGATGTGAAGGCAGAGATTGAGACATGGGGCAGCAAGGAACGGGCACTCAAGGCTTACCAATCTATGGTGGGCTCCGTCATGTATCTCGTCTCCTGCACACGCGTGGATATGGCATATGCAGCAAGTTTCATTGGGCAAAATGTGTTGCAGCACGAAGGACGCAAATGGAAGGAGATGGAACGGACCATTGCTTACCTCTTGCAACGAGAGGAAGAAGGACTTCTGTTTGAGGGAGGAGAGGAAACTCTAGAACTTGTTGGTTATGCCGATGCCTCACATGCATCGGATAAAGAGACGAGGAGGGGAGGCTATGGTTACGTCTACCTTCTTGGAGGAACGGCCATCATGTGGCAAGAAAAGAAGCTGACCGACATCGCCCTTTCAAGCGCAGAAGCTCAATATATGGCGCTATTTTATGCATGCCAAGAGGGTGTGTGGCTGAGGCGTCTACTGCAAGAGATGGGGATCACCATCAACGGTCCTACAACAATCAAAACGGCAAGCCAATCAGCCATCGACCTTGCGAGGAACGACAACTGGCACGGACGGACGAAACACATGGACGTCAAGTATCATTGGGTGCGATAGATGTTGCAGAAAAAGACATTCGAGTTCGTGCACGTGCGGACAGAGGAGCAGCCCGCGGATTTCCTCACCAAGGTGCTACCAAAAGCTAATCATCACCATTGCAAGGACCTTGTTGGTATTCGTACCTTCAAGAACTTGCAGGGGAGTAGCGGGGCAATAATGAAGGCCACAATCCCAAATGAAGAACGCGGACAAGAGATGATGACGAAATTAGGTCACATGGTGACCACGGGAGCATCCAAGTGGGACAGCTAGCGAACCACAGGGGGAGGTTGTTAGGGTGGTTCTCCGCTGCCCTACCGTCCTATTCCTATGCCTAACGAGGATGCGGCGATGCTAGGACGATGTGAGGACCGCCCATCTCGTTCCAAGGAAAGTGATGTTGAAATAGCAAGGCGGATGACAAGGGAAAGAATGACGACGGGAAGAAAAACAGGAATCCTAACTGCAGCGGCGGAAGTGGCGAAACAGCGGTGGAGCTAGGAAAATCAGCAAGGAAGAAATTGAAGAAATCGGTAGAAGAAAACCTACGAAGTTAAGGTGCTTGAGGTTGCTCTAGGTGATGCGTGCGTGCGGGGAAACTGTAGATCGGAAATGCTTTCTGCTGCCTTGCAGGAAACTCCAGCCAAGACCAGCGGGAGAAACAAGCTGCAGGAAAAATCTCCAACACAGATCCGGAGCGCGTTCAGCTGAATTCCGAAGAACCGAACTCGGGGTCGGTTTCAAACTTGGTGTCGGTTACTGAAATCCGTTTCCGTGATTGCCAGAATTCCGAGGTTGCACAGTACACCAGCCGCGTTACGCGAACCACGCAAGCTTTCTGCCTGCTTATAAATGCTTGTTTGTTTCTTGTTCAAACACAACTCATTTTCAGTGCAAATTCTCCCCTAGAAACTGCTAAAACTTTCTACGTCAACTAAGTCTCCCCAACTTCAGCCGGAGGCGCTTGTGATCCTATATTTCCCCCATTGTACCAGCCATTTCCCCCATCGTACCAGCCACTTCCCCCATCGTACCAGCCATTTCTGTAACGCATACTAAACCTACCTAGCGCAATTGGCACGGCCTAGCTAGGTCGCAAGCATGAGAAAGTTGTGCTAGGGAAGGATGGGTTGGGTGTACAAATGTGGTTAACCACCCAACCCAAGGCAAATGTGGTTTGGAAATTCCAACCCTTTATGTTGAGGTTTGGGAATTCCCAAGCCTACACATTGCCAACCAATGGTTGGATTTGCAACCAACCACAGATTCACAGTTGGTGTTACAACCAACTCAATCCAACATTTTCTTCCACACACTTGCTCTCAAATGGGTAGCAACCCAACCTAAAATGCCACCTAAGCAACTCAACTCTAGGAGCTCCTCCACCTTGTTGCCATGGAGGAGTTGGAGCTCCTCAAGGGGTCTAGGGAGGGGTTGAGCTTTCCCAAGCTCATTCTCCATTTCCCAACTCCAACAATCCAATTTGGAAATGGGATTTTCTGTAAGTCTTTGAGCTCTCCTCACAGCTTCCCCTATACAACTCTCTCAAGGACTTCTTCATTCAAGCCTCTCTTTTTAAGACTTCACCAACAACCTCAAGGCTAGTCTAGGGATAAGCTAGGGTGATTTTGAGATTGGAGAGTGTTGGAAATATCTCAAAGGACTTAAGCGTTTCTGAAGCGTAACACTACACTCGAGGAAGATCGTAACGGGTACACGAGTCAACGGAGGTTGCACGAGGGGATGGACAAAGAACGCGAAAGGACTCGAAGGGTCGCAACTGGAGGTTGCGACTGACCGTTACAACTGCACGGATGGTAACCGAAGCGACAATCGAGTCGCTGTGCGACTCGATAACCGCTCCTGCAACTGTATTCTACAACTGCTTTACTTTCCTATTTCCTATATATTGCTGTATGCTTGTTTCTTTAATCAATCACTTGTTCTCATATACTAGAACAAGGGTTCAACTACTCAACTTCCGCTGCACTTCTCAAGTCTCATTCTACAACTGGGACTTAGTCTCTGGAAAGATCCTAACGGCTTTTCTCAGCCCAACATGGTATGAGAGCTGGTCAGAGACCAAACTCCCAGCAACAACACTCTATATACAATCTGCACTTCAACGACTTCATTAATTACAAGCCATGGACAGCAAGGGCAAGAAGACCTCTACGGGCTCACCCAGCACCCAAGACATTCAACCTGGCAACTCTGGATTGCATACTTCAGGGCTGCAAACCGAGACCGGCGCTGCTCAAGAAACAACAGGAAGAGCAACGGAAATGGTGACCCCATCACCCTCTTCAAGCGTGGATCCGAACCTTATGGAAAGGTTCTTCAGCTTCATGTCGCACTTCGACCAGCAGCAGCAGACAAGGACACCTGCGCATTCAATACAGAGCAACGGAGGAAACATGGGATTAGCGCCGATGAGCCTCGACAATTCACCGTTCGGGCGACACAATCAAGCACCTGCCTTTGCGCCTTATCACTCTTCACCGGGGACGTTCGAGTTCATGCCGCCCCGTGCCCAACCAACAGCAGCTGCATCACAACAAACACCAAACGAGATTTTAAGTCTCCAGGCGCAGTTCTCACACGTGATTAAACTGCAGACATCATCACCATTCAACGGACACGATTTCTTTACCTGGAGTTTTGAGTTCGAGCTGCTGATGGAGGCTGCGCATCTCTTGGGATACTTCAACGGGTCCCTGCCATTCCCAAGCAACGGCACTGGAAAGGAGCAAGAAATTTTCACGTATCAGTCGCTGCTGGCGTATACAGTTCTCCTGCGGAACCTGTCACCACAAGAACAGCAGAGCATCAGAACGTATCGGAGCTACGGAAACTCCGCGGAACTCGCATGGCATCACCTCAAGTGTCTCTATCAAGCAAACGACAGCGTGACACAAAGCAGACTCATGCAACAACTGACAACAATACAGATGAAGACCGGGGAAAAGGCGATGCAGCATATGAGTCGCTGCCAGACCCTCCGCGACCGTCTGCTTCGGTGCGGAGGAACAATCACTGAAGAAAGCTTTGTGACGCTTGTCCTCGCCGGGCTCGGGCCAGAATGGAGAACCACACGCTCGCTTCTTCGCGCCCACGGAAGGATATCGGAGATGCACCTCTGCGCCGAGCTTCATGCTGAACAACAAGAGATGGACCTGTTCGAAGAAAGACAACCAAGGAAGCAGCAGCAGTTAGTTTTCTACACTCAACGAAGGAACGACAACAACTACAATTGACGCGGCAAACAAGATCAACTCGACAATAGAGGACTCACCTTCGTGCCACCGTTCTGCCACAACTGTCAGACTTCCTGACATTCCAAAGTCAACTGCACACGTCCTCGTGTTTATCGTCCAGTAGACCACACGTCGCCTCCACTCAAGAAAGCCCTCCAAGGCGCTCTTCCACATCTGCACAAGGGACACCGAACATCATTAACTGCATGGTACACATCGACAACTGCGCACCCGGATCACCACCCACTTACGCACCAGACGAAGAAGAACTTCCGCCGCCGCGCTCACAAGGACTTCAGGTCAACCCGACATACGCTGCGGTCGCCAACGCCGAACCCACCGGGCGAAATACCTGGTTCTTGGACAGCTGCTGCGGTCAACACATGTGTTCTTTCGGACGCTTCGTGCAACGAGAGCGACGCCTCAACCGCGACGTCATCATCACCGTCGCCAACAACGAGAACCTGAAAACAAAACAGACAAGGAGTGGTTCAATTACAATCCATGGAGACAAACGTTATACTTCAACTCAACAAGGTCCTCATCGTCGACAACTTGGGATACAACTTACTAAGCGTCAGCCAGCTAATGGCAAAAGGGATTCACCTGGAGTGCGACTCCTACTCCAACGAGTTTCGCCTTTACCACGGGAAGGGAGGTCTCTTCATTGATCGTGCTCTCCTGAAGTCCGGCGTCTTCGTGTTAGACTTCATCCCCGACCGCGGTACTGCCGACATCGACGGAATCGTGTCGTTCGCCGCCTGGACACACCAGCCGGATCTTGACCCCGACTTTGACCCGGAGGGATTCTGGCACTCCAACACCATACCTGCAGCAGAGAGAACACGAGCATTAGCAGTCATCAGACAAGAAAGACAAGTACCAGCAAGTGTCCCTTCCCAACCATCACCTGCAGTAGCCGCAGCAGAACAAAGAGCACCACCACCAGCGATCCGAGGACCACCAACCGAAGCAGATCAACTTATGCCCATCACACGAGAAGTCTGTCGAAGTCCCGCCTCAGTCGTCGCGTTCTTCTCCAACACCGACATATACCATCGTTCGCCCGGCCATCGCGCTCCCGACGACATCTGGCACCAACGACTCGGGCACCCTGCAAACAGTACAATACTGCAAACCAGCCAAGCCGAAGTGTTAGAACGCAACGCTCTACTAACAACGAGCAACCAAGAACTTCGACGACCACGCGCACGGTGCTTTACGTGCCCCGAAGCCGATCTTCCTCACCAGCCTTTCCCATCTCATCACAACCCAAGCGCACCTGCATACGCACCGATGGAAAAAGTCTACAGCGACATTTTAAACATGCCTCGAGAAAACACTGAAGCCGACTTCAACTATGTCATCACGTTTATCGACGCAGCAACAAGATACGTCTGGCACTACAACCTCAAGATACGCGATCAAGCCTTCGACGCCTTCACGACATGGCTACCCATCGCCGAACGAGAATCAGGAACCAAACTCAAGAGCTTCCAGTCAGACGGTGCACTGGAATACCAGTCACAACGCTTCAGGACCTATCTGGCGGAAAGAGGAATCAGACGCCTGGTGTCTCTGCCCTACGCTCACCAGCAGCAGGGGGTCGCAGAACGCATGAACCGGACCTTGCAGACGACGATGCAAAAGTTGCTCCTGGGGATGAGACTGCCCACCACACTGTGGCCAGACGCGATGACACATGCAGTCCACCTGCACAACCTGCTGTCCTCGTCATCGCTTCCCAACCAACGCATCACCGCACCTGCTGTGGACACAAAAAAGGGGCAGCACAAAATTACTTCGAGTTTTCGGCTGCATGGTACAGTACAGACCTCACACAGCCCGAGCAGGACGCTTCACTCAACGAGCTCGGTGGGGACTACACCTCGGCATCGCAAAACATTTTCACGCATCGAAAATCCTCGACATACAAGACAAAAATACAGTGGCATCACGTGATGTTATCTTCTATGAGCGACTGACGCTGCAGCATTACCTGGACAACATTGCCAACACACACGACCCCACCGACGGCTTCGCGGGCCTTCGTTCCTTCGCCGACCGCGCTGCCGAGGCTGACGCAGCAGAAGAAGACGTACCTGGAGCCTCGGAAGCTGCCGGACCACTCCCTTTCTGTTCCGTACCTGTTCCACTCGACGAAGACAATCCTCTCGATAGTAACAACCTCGACACCTTTTACCACTTCGCTGACCAAGGTTACACTACACCCCACCCGGTCGACACAAATGTTTCAGAACGCATCGGCCCCAACTTCTTACCTGATCCAGAAGACGGTGACGAAGCAGCCTATTCCGGGAATGAAAATTCCCCTCGACACACACCCACGGGACTGCAGATCCTCGGCCTATGGGTCTCCGTCCAGCATCCACCGCCGCCATCTCCGCGCGAGCCCTCGGCTCTGTCGCAGGCTCTGGGGGGGGAACATAAGACGAAATGGAAGGAGGCGATGGAAAGGGAACTAAAGGCCCTGCAAGACCGAAATACATGGAAGCTGGTACCTGCAACAAGCATCAACGGGAAGAACGTCCTCTCGGGAAAATGGGTGTACCGCATCAAGACCAACGCGGACGGCTCCATCGAACGATTCAAAGCTCGATGGGTCGTACGAGGCTTCGATCAACGATACGGAACCGACTACACAGAAACTTTTGCCCCAGTCTCCCGTCACACCTCCCTATGCATCCTACTCGCCGTCGCGGCCACGAAGAAACTACCACTGCGTCGAATCGACGTCGCAAACGCTTTCCTGTACGCACCTGTGGACGCCGAAATCTTCGTCGAGCAGCCCCACGGATTCATCGACGACCCTACGAATGTATGCCTATGATAAAATCCCTCTACGGGATCAAACAAGCTCCGCGACTATGGCAGCAGCATCTTCACGGCCGCCTCGTCAAAATTGGCTTCCTACAGCTGCCGCACGACCAAGGCATGTATCGACTTCAGAAGGAAAGAGCCTTTATCCTTCTCATCGTCTACGTCGACGACCTGCTCTACATCGGCTCCTCTACCGACATCGCCATCTGGTTCGAAGGGGAGCTGAGAAGTGACCTGACACTCACAGTGTCAGACACAGTGACCCAGTACCTGGGACTGAATGTCGTCGAAGACAACTCGGCATTTTACCTACACGCTGGAAAATACGCAGGCGTTGTCGCGAAGAAATTCGGGCTAACGCCGACTACGGTCACGACTCCCCACCGCTACGGGAACAACAGCAACACCTCCGCGAAACTCCCCGCGAAGCAAATCCAGGAGTATCAGCAGAAGCTCGGCTGCCTACTATTCGCAGCAGTAACCTGCCGACCCGACCTATCTTATAGCGCAAGCCAACTGGCGACGCATCTGAAGCAACCGGAACAAGAAGATCTCGAGGAACTTAATCGGGCACTACTCTACTTCATCTCCACGCCGACGACCGGACTTACCTACAGTAAAGAAACGACATCGTCCGTACAACTACTCGGATACGTCGACGCCGACCAAGTGGGAGATAGGGAAAACCGACGATCGAGAACGGGCTACATCTACCGACTAGAACCTATCGGGACTATCTCCTGGCAGTCGAGCAAGCAGGAACTAATCGCACTATCTTCGGCTGAAGCACAATATATCGCCCTCTGTACTGCGACCAAGGAAGGACTCTACCTACAAGAGTTGCTCGAGGAAGCGAAGATCGCGACCCTGCCCGTCTTCTCACTCCTCTGCGACAACCAATCTGCGATCAAAATCGCGAACAAGGACGGCTTCGCCAACCGAACCAAACACATTGCCCTGCGGTACTTTTTCGTCAGAGATGAAATCGCGAAAGGGAGACTTCAACTCAGTTACTGCCCTACAACAGAAATGGCCGCAGACTACCTGAGGAAGAAACTGGCGAAGGCGAAGTTCGATTACTGCATGCTGCTGACCGGGCAGACAAACGTAACCGGATCTGAACACGTCAGCACTCCAGAAACGAAGGGGAGTGTTGGAAATATCTCAAAGGACTTAAGCGTTTCTGAAGCGTAACACTACACTCGAGGAAGATCGTAACGGGTACACGAGATAAACGGAGGTTGCACGAGGGGATGGACAAAGAACGCGAAAGGACTCGAAGGGTCGCAACTGGAGGTTGCGACTGACCGTTACAACTGCTCGGATGGTAACCGAAGCGGCAATCGAGTCGCTGTGCGACTCGATAACCGCTCTTGCAATTGTATTCTACAACTGCTTTACTTTCCTATTTCCTATATATTGCTGTATGCTTGTTTCTTTAATCAATCACTTGTTCTCATATACTAGTACAAGGGTTCAACTACTCAACTTCCGCTGCACTTCTCAAGTCTCATTCTACAACTGGGACTTAGTCTCTGGAAAGATCCTAAGGGCTTTTCTCAGCCCAACAGAGAGCATTCCTTGGTTGTAATCCCTACTATAATAGCCTTGGTTATTACAATTTCCCCCATCGTACCAGCCCTTTCCCCCATCGTACCAGCGTTCCCCCCGTCCGCTGCTCTCTTGCCTCCTTTCCCTTCCCGGCTCTCTCTTCCCTCCTCTCTCTTCCCTCCTTTCTTCCCTGCTCTCTCTTCCTTGCTCTCTCTCCCCTCCTCTCTTCCTTGCTCTCTCGTCCCAGCTCTCTCTTCCCTCCTCTCTTCTCGTCCCTGCTCTCTCTTCCCTGCTCTCTCTTCCCTCCTCTCTTCCCTGCTGTCTCTTCCCTGCTCTCTCTCCCCTCTTCTCTTCCCTGCTCTTTCTTCCCAGCTCTCTCTTCCCTCCTCTCTTCTCGTCCCTGCTCTCTCTTCCCTGCTCTCTCTTCCCCCCTCTCTCTTCCCCCCTCTCTATTACCCCCCCTCTCTTTCCTGCTCTCTATTCCCTCCCTTCTCTTCTCTCCCCTCTCTTCACTTCCCCCTCCCCTCTCTTCCCTCCTCTCTCGTCCCTCCCCTCTCTTCCCTCCCCTCTATTCCTCGCTCTCTCTTCCCTGCTCTCTCTTCCCTCCCCTCTCTTCCCTGATCTCTCTTCCCCCCTCCTCTCTTTCCCCCCCTCACTTCCCTTCTACCTCTTCCCTTCTGCCGCTTCCCTTCTGCCTCTTCCCTTCTGCCTCTTCCCTTCTACCTCTTCCCTTCTGCCTCTTCCCTTCTGCCTCTTCCCTTCTGCCTCTTCCCTTCTGCCTCTTCCCTTCTGCCTCTTCCCTTCTGCCTCTTCCCTTCTGCCTCTTCCCTTCTGCCTCGTCCCTTCTGCTTCTTCCTTTCTCTCTCTTCCCTCCTCTGTCGTCCCTGCTCTCTCGTCCTCCTCTCTCTTCCCTCCTCTCTCGACCCTGCTCTCTCGTCCCTCCTCTCTCTTCCCTCCTCTCTTCCCTCCTCTCTCTTCCCTCTTCTCTTTTCCCCCCTCTCTCTTCCCTCCTCTCTCTTCCCTCCCCTCTCTTCCCTCCTCTCTCGTCCCTCCTCTCTCGTCCCTCCCCTCTCTTCCCTCCCCTCTCTTCCCTGCTCTCTCTTCCCTGCTCTCTCTTCCCTCCCGTCTCTTCCCTCCCCTTTCTTCCCTGCTCTCTCTTACCCCCCCTCACTTCCCTTCTACCTCTTCCTTGCTCTCTCTTCCCTCCCCTCTCTTCCCTCCTCTCTCTTCCCACCTCTCTCTTCCCTCCTCTCTCTTCCCAGCTCTCTCTCCCCTCCTCTCTTCCCTGCTCTCTCTTCCCTGCTCTCTCTTCCCTCCTCTCTTCCCTGCTCTCTCTTCCCTGCTCTCTCTTCCCCCCTCTCTCTTCCCCCCTCTCTATTACCCCCCCTCTCTTCCCTGCTCTCTACTCCCTCCCTTCTCTTCTCTCCCCTCTCTTCTCTCCCCTCTCTTCACTCCCCCCTCCCCTCTCTTCCCTCCTCTCTCGTCCCTCCCATCTCTTCCCTCCCCTCTATTCCCCGCTCTCTCTTCCCTGCTCTCTCTTCCCTCCCCTCTCTTCCCTGATCTCTCTTCCCCCCTCCTCTCTTTCCCCCCCTCACTTCCCTTCTACCTCTTCCCTTCTGCCTCTTCCCTTCTGCCTCTTCCCTTCTGCCTCTTCCCTTCTGCCTCTTCCTTTCTCTCTCTTCCCTCCTCTATCGTCCCTGCTCTCTCGTCCCTCCTCTCTCTTCCCTCTCTCTTCCCTCCTCTCTCTTCCCTCTTCTCTCTTCCCCCCTCTCCCTTCCCTCCTCTCTCTTCCCTCCCCTCTCTTCTCTTCCCTCTCTTCCCTCCCCTCTCTTCCCTCCCGTCTCTTCCCTCCCCTCTCTTCCCTCCTCCCTCGTCCCTCCTCTCTCGTCCCTCCTCTCTCGTCCCTCCCCTCTCTTCCCTCCCCTCTCTTCCCCGCTCTCTCTTCCCTGCTCTCTCTTCCCTCCCGTCTCTTCCCTCCCCTTTCTTCCCTGCTCTCTCTTCCCCCCCCTCACTTCCCTTCTACCTCTTCCTTGCTCTCTCTTCCCTGCTCTCTCGTCCCTCCTCTCTCTTCCCTCCCCTCTCTTCCCTCCTCTCTCTTCCCACCTCTCTCTTCCCTCCTTTCTCTTCCCTTCTCTCTCTTCCCTCCTCTCTCTTCCCTCCTCTTTCTTCCCTCCTCTCTCTTCCCTCCTCTCTGTTCCCTTCTCTGTCGTCCCTCCTCTCTCTTCCCTCCTCTCTCTTCCCTCCTCTCTCTTCCCTCCTCTCGCTGCCCTCCTCTCCCTTCCCTCCTCTCTCTTCCCTCCTCTCTCTTCCCTCCTCTCTCTTCCCATCTGTCTCATACCCATGGGTTTGTGGCATAAACTGTTTTAATCACTCCAAGTATTTCTTCTACTCCCCTGCCTGCCCCATCCAACGACCCGCAGAGCACTACCTCGCCCCTGCACCTGCCTCGCCACCTCTTGGTGCCCGTGCCGTTGATCCGCCGGCGCCGCCGCTGTGCACGAAGCCCCCCCACTGCTGCTGCTGCTGTCCATGCAGGTGCATCCAATGCAAGCAGCGGTGAAGAAACCGCAATGCAATGCAAGCATGAGGAAACCTCATCGCTCCCACCCCCGGCGGGCTGCTGCATCCGCGACAGCCGCGCACAAGCTCAGGGTGCTACGGCCCGCTCGCTCCACCCTGCGGAAAGCCACCGCTGCGTCAGCAGCGCTCAGCGGAGTAAAGACGAGGGCCGGGAAGGCTCCCGCCTCAGTGGCAGCTTTGGTTACCAAGACGCCAACCAAGTCGACGCCAGCCAAGTCGACCCCAGCCAAGTCGACCCCAGCCAAGTCGACCCCAGCCAAGTCGACCCCAGCCAAGGCGACCACAGCCAAGTCGACCCCAGCCAGGTCGACCCCAGCCAAGTCGACCCCAGCCAAGTCGACCTCAGCCAAGTCGACCCCAGCCAAGGTGGTGCCCAAATCGGGGCCTCGGAAGCGATCGAGGGGCGAGGCCGAGGCAGAGAAGGGCGAGGAGGAGGAGGAGGTGGCAGAGGTAGCAATGGGGGTGGGGGAAAGTGGTGGGCGGCGGAGGAGCCTCCGCCCCCACAAGTCTCCAGCCTTCTACCAGGCGCCCGAGTGGCGGTCGCCTGCCGTGCGCAGGGCCGGCAGATCCGATGAAGAGCTCCGGGATTCGTCGGACGAGGCGGATGAGGAGGAGGATGAGGAGGAGGATGAGGAGGAGGTGGAGGACGGGGAGAAATTTGGCAAAGGAAGGAAGCTGGCGGGTGGTGGAGGGGGGGGAGTTGCTGGGAAGGTGGTGAGGGTCAAGGGAGTGAAGGTTGGGGCGGCGAGAGCCGTGAAACCGGTGAAAGCAGCAAAGGCAGCAAGGAAGTTTCTGGGGCGGGGGAAGGTGAAGCTGGTGGATGTGTCCCAGGCCCGCCTTGCCGCACTGGAAGCTGTGGATGACGCCATGGCTCACACTCACCCGTCGTCCGTCGACGCCTCGTGCTGCACGCGCTGCACGAGCCGTGAGGCCTTCCGCGCGGTGCGCATGCGCAATGCCGCCATGCTGGCCGCCGTGCTGGCGTGCTCTGCGCGCACGCGCGTGTCGGACCCGCACCTGGAGTGGTCCCCGGAGTGCCACATGGACCCCCTGCGCGCGGCGCTGCTGGCGGGGGAGGTGCGGCTGGCGCGCATGCTGCTGCTTGACCGCGACCGGCAGGAGGCCAACGGGCTGCTGGGGGAATGCGGGGGGGGGGACGCAGGTGAGGGTGGGGCGGTGAGTGATGATGAGGATGAGGGGGCGGGGGAGGAGAGTGAGGGCACAGAGGAGGCGGGGGAAGCCGGGGAGGTGGGGCCGGAGGAAGACGTGGAGGGAGGTGTAATAGAGATGGGGATGGTGGAGGAGGAGGAGGAGGAGGAGGAGGAGGAGGAAGAAGAGGAGGTGCAGACGGGCCCAAGATGCAAGAAGCAAGGCAGGGGGGGGCTGGGGAAAGGGGAGGGGACAAAGGAACCGGCGAGCGAGGAGCACAATGCCGCCAAGGAGGCGGCAAAGGCGGCGAAGGAGGCTGAGACCTGCGTGGTGAGTGCGTGCGCCCGCCTGCCGGTGAGCTCCCTGGCGAGCGTGAGCTCGGGCAGCAAGTCCTTCTACATGCTCGGCACTGCCACGCGCAAGCTAGAGGCCAGCCGCGGTGGCAAGGAGGGCAACAACGCCTTTCTGCAGGACCCCGACCCGCGCGCCGACTCCTTCCGCACCTACTTCTCCTTGGCCGCCCAGCGCTGCTCCATGGCGGCGCTGCAGATGATGGCAGCAACGCCCGACACCTCCGCTCCCGCGTACCTGCAGCCGCGCGACCCCACCCACCCCGTGCCCTCGCGCATCGCGCCCTGCCTTGAGCTCGCAGGGGGCGGCTTGGTGTACGAGGCAGCAGAGGTGGGGAATCTCCCCACGGCGGCACACCTCCTGCGCCTGTGCCGCGGCGCCGACGGCAGCGGGGATTCGAGCTACGGGTTCAACGCAGTGCACGAGCTGGCAGTGGGGCCGGCGGACGGCAGGCTGGGCGCGGAGCTGCGGGCGGTGTCGGTGCTGAAGCAGGCAGGGTACAACAACGAGCAGGTGACCCCCGTTCACCTGGCAGCCCTGCAGCCCGACGCCAGGCTGCTGCAGCAGCTGGTGGAGCGCTCGGGGCCGCTGGCACTGCACGTGGCGGACGGCAAGGGCCATAAGCCCATCCACTTTGCGGCGGTGGCAGCGGGCAGTGTGGCGTGCCTCGAGTGGCTGCTCAGCCAGGGGGTGAACGCAGAGGAGAAGGACGGCCAGGGCCACACGCCCCTGCGCCACGCGTTGGCGTTTGGGCGTCCGCACGCCGCCTGGCTGTTGCTACCAGTGGCGGCTGCAGGGAACAGTAGCGGCGCGGCGGAGGAGGGAGAAGCGGAGGGGGCAGCGGCGGGGGCTGGTGTCAGGGTGGTGGACCTGGTGCTGAACACGCCGCTGGACAAGGGCACGCCAGAGACGCTGCTGCACGTGACGGCGTGGGAGTGCCTCTACATGAAGCCCGAGGTGGCGGCGGAGGTGGTGGAGCTGCTCGTCCGTGCGGGTGGCGACCCCCTCTTGCCGTCCAAGGACCAAAAGCTCACCCTGCTGCACATCCTCTCCGCCCTAGGACTGGACGCGGCGGTGGAGAGGGTTCTCTCGCTGGTGGCAGCGGGAAGCGACGGGGAGACGCGCGTGGTGAAGCTGCTGCTGATGCCTGATAAAATCAAGCGCAATGCGCTCGTCGTGGCGGCGCGTAACTCGTACTTCGCGGTGGTGTAGGTGCTGCTGCGGCGCGGGGTGCCCCCCGACAGCGCGGACTCGAGCGGCAACACGGCGCTGCACTAAGCGTGCGCGTATGGCTGCAAGGGCGCCGTGGACCTGCTGCTGGCCGGTGGCGCGGATCGCAGCCGCGTGAACATGTGGAAGCTGTCGGGGCTCTTCCTCGCTGTGCTCAAGGGCCACATGGCCATCGCCACCGCACTACTCTCCTCCTCTACGCCGCTGCCCGCGCCCTGCCGGCGCTCCTCCCAGGTGCCGTGCCTCTGCTGCTGGTGGCTGATGCTGATGCGAGTGGCAGTGTGAACGTGGTGGACTGCAACGTCAAGTCTCTGCTGCACCACGCCGTCACGCTCAAGCAGGCCGACCCCCACTTGTGCCTCTCTCAGGTGACCTTCCTCGTCTCCCACGCCGTCTCTGCTGCCGTGCAGGACCCCAGGGACAGCCAGAATGCGCTGCATGTCTTGGCCTCGCTGCGCCCTGCCGTCTACCGCCTGGACACGCGCATCGCCGCCGCCATTCTCTCGGCGCCCGGCGCTGACATGGCCGCGGTGAACGGCGCGGGCCGCACGGCACTGCAGCTGGCGGCGGAGCGGCTCAACGTGAACGTGCTGAGGGCGCTGCTGCGCAGCCCCACATGCAACGCCGCTCTCACCCACCGCGATCACCTGGGGGTGACGCCGCTGCTCGCGGTGCTGCAATGCACGCCCCCTAGCAGGTACAGCAACTATCGCCGGTGGGCGGCGTTCTGCCGCCGCCAGAGGAGCACCGTGGCACTGCTGCTGCGGGCTGCGGTTGAGCGCTCAGCGGCGGCGGAGGGGGCGGCGGGGTGCGACTGGGAGTGGGTGAATGCACAGAGAAAGAAGGAAGGCGACTCTGCATTGCGGGGAGGAAGAGGAGGAAGAGGAGGAGGAGGAGGAGGAGGAGGAGGAGGAGGAGGAGGAGGAGGAGGAGGAGGAGGAGGAGGAGGAGGAGGAGGAGGAGGAGGAGGAGGAGGAGGAGGCTGAGGAGGGGGTGGGGAGAGGACACGTTATGAAGCAGACGCGCTGCCTGCTGCTGTGTGAGGTGGCCCTTGGGCAATCGCAGGCTGTCTTGGAGGCCACGTACATGGAGGAGGCTCTGCCGGGCTCGCACTCCACATTTGCCATCGGCAGAACCACCCCGGACCTTGCTCACTGCCTGTGGACCCCTGACGGCTGCTGCATCCCTACCGGCCCCATCATCTCCCGCAAGGAACTGGAGACGCAGAAGGCATCGAGGCCGGGGGAGTATGGTCGTGTGTGCCGGTACATCACTCCGCCAAGCAAGGGCGGCCAGTAGTGTGTGGAGTGGAACGAGTATGTGGTGTACCGTGAGGCGCAGGTGCAGATGCGCTACCTCCTCTGTGTGAAGCCCCCGAGGAGTAGGAAGAGGAGGGGAAGGAAGCGCAAGTGATGCGAAAAGGGGTGGAGAGATTTGGGAGCCTTTGGATTGTGCTCTGCTTGAAATCGTATTCATCTATCCAGGCTTTCAAAACTTTAGAGTTGAACTCTGGTAGGCTTTGTTTTTGGCTGGTGATATATAATTTATCATGCATGAAACCAACTACCCCCCCGGATATAGGTGCTTAGGGGCTTATAGGAAATACCTAACAAAAGTGACATGCGCTTGTAATAGAATAAATTTTATAAGCCCATGGCTTATGAAAGGAATTTTATGGAAAAAAATATTTGAGCACGTGAAAATGTAGTTCTCGAATTTTGCGTTCTAGCGCGTGTCTTTCCAAAGGGCAGCATGTTGACAAAATGCGAGGTGGTGGCTGACAAAGCTTCCGCCACCAGATCCACCCAGGAATGACTGAAATTGCCAGCCAATCAGAGCCAACACAGTGAGCGAGACTCGCACTTCTGGTTTGGGAGGTGCTCGGGAGGGGCACGGCAGAAACTCCGATATATAAATCCCCTGTTTAAAATAAATTTATACAAAAAGTGATGCGCCTATAGGAAATACATTTCAAAAAATGTGGGTGCGCTTATAATGAAATAACGGATATAAGCGCACTTGCACTCCATAAGCGCAATGGGCCAAATAAAGGGATGCGCATATATCCGGGGGATTACGGTACCAGCGGAAGATCGGATATGCGGATGCACGCTCGCCGCTGCTTAGGCTCGCTGCTGCCGCCACGCTCACCGCTGCTATCGTGCAGGGCCTCAGATTCGTTTTGGGGCACGCTGATTGCTCAGGGTCCCCCCCTCGTAGCCCTCTGTTTTTTCAGGCATCGCAAAAAAAAATACACTGATCAATCAGGGTGTTGTATTTTTTTTGCGCTGAATAAACAGGGTCAACTACGGAAAACACGCTGTTTAAATACATGCCCTGTATTTTTCACAGTTTCCTGATTACAGTCTTGGTCGGTCACAGTCAAGTTGGCGTGATTGACGGGGAGGGTGGGGGGGGAATTCGGAAATCAGGGTCGTCCTCAATACGACGCTGGAAAGACAGGCCTCACTACACTAGTCACGTTGATCGATCAGAGTTCACTTCTAGAAAAACGCTGAAATTTCAGGGCCGTGTTAAAAAAAACCCGTCTTATTAGGCCCCCCCCCCAAAAAAACCCTGATTTTACCCTAAATCAAGGTAAAAAGCATGCAATCAGAGGCCCTGCTATTGTGCTCCTTGCTGCCACACTCCCTGCTAACACTGTACTCCCTGTTGCTGCCACTCTCCCTGCTAATGCTGCACTCCCTGCTGCTGCCACTGTTATGAATTATAACTCAGGGTATAGCGCAGAATACTATAAGGGAACGTGATTACAGAGTTATGATAGAAATGAGGCTTAGGCAATATATAGGTGTGTTTGAAGGAACTAGCTTGGAAGAGAAAAGATTGAATTGAGTAGGGAGCCAAGAGGCTCTTTTGTACAAAACAAGGAGCAAGGAAGAGTTGGAGAAGCTCTCCTATTGGCCATAAAGTGGACCAATGGGAGAGGTTGCTTGTAGGGCAAGCAACCACAAAGTGTGGTGCTCTCCGATTGGCCACAATGTGGACCAATGAGAGAGATTGCTTGGAAGGCAAGCAACCACAAAGTGTGGTGCTTGGTGATTGGTTGGTTCCTAGGACCAAGGACCATTTGGTTGGAATAGTGCCAACCAAATGTCTAGGACCAAATCCAATCTTGACCAACCCAAATGTGGGGTTGGTCAACCCAACCAACAACCCCCAATAATTAGAATGACTACACCTCCTAATCTAGGCATGCATGTTGTATAGATATATATTTTACAACAGTGTTGACCAGGGTTGAATGTCGAGGGTTGGACCAGTCAAGGGCTCGATAGTCCCGAGGGTGACGGGGTCAAAATGGGTTCGTGGCGACTCGGGATGAGGTTGGGGCCGACGAGGCCGGCGGGGGCTGGTTTGGTGCGTGACTTGAGGGCCGAGCCTGCAGACGCAAACTATTCGCGTGTACTCGCTGTGGCGAGCCCCAGAAAAGAATCGTAATTCCTTACACTCTACCACCTTCTAAAGGAAGGCACTCCCTTTATAGAGGCCGAACAGTCATTGAAAGTAATCCCCGATGTGAGTGTAATTCTTCAGCCCTGTGACGAGCGCAATGATTACGCCGGCCTGACGAGGTCTTCAGGTCGAACTACGATCAAAGGTCAGAAAGCGTCAAAACGATCGCTTTTAATCTCAGTCGTCGAAGATGGTCGAATTCTTCTGCAGACCAGACGGGCAAGGGTAAATACTCCAGTGGAAAATTGTGAACAGTGGAACTTTCGACTGGGCGGTTGATGATGACGAGTGGCTGTTAGATACAGTGACGGAAACAATTGTCCGTATGTTTTGCATTGATTTGGGTTTCTAGGCATTAAGCCCACTATACATTAAGCCTTAATGTTTTATGGTGATACGATTCGGGAGGGGCACATAGTGGATGTGTTCATGGCACAAAAGTCCAAAATAGTACAATGGATCTAACTCATATCCCAAAAGATATACAAAGGGTACATCCGGACAAATAGTTCCAAGTAGAGGGAGCAACCTTCAGGACTGCGTTTCTGGTACCTAGCCCACCGACCTTTGGCCTTGATCACCGCCCGCACCCTCCTAGGAGTGCTGTCGATAAGGCTAGAGCAAACCTCGGCATGGATCTTCTCCTATTCTTCCTGTACCATGTCCCAAAGCTCTCGCATTCAAGAGAAAGGCCTTTTATGCTTGGTCAGCTCCCTTTTCAGGTAAGCCCAGAGGTTGAGATTTGATGAGGAAGAAGGCCACTCTAGGGCTACATACTGACGTTCTCCAATTCATTCCTGCACTAGGCATGACAAATTCTTGGAGTCATTGTCCGCACTGAAATGACCTCAGAGGGGAAAATGCTATAGGAGTCAAGGGTCAATTCGAGTTCATCGTGCAAAAATCTCTCGTACAAGGGCCTGTCCATGCGCCCGTCAATCTTGCATATGAACCCCACCCTCGCACATGTCATACATCCCCACAACTTCACCGATCCTTGTCCCCATGGTTTACCGTTTGTTTGACTTGGTGGTACTGTGGGGTTGTGCATTAATGAATCCAGGCAAACGCACGGCCATTGGAGCTGAAGTAGCTGATGTAGGTCACATTTGACCAGATCAGATGCTTTCGAACATTAATTGTCTACTCAGCATGCGACTCCACGAATTGCAGCCGACCCCGGATGTTTTTCCAAAATAGTCATGGCCTCTACGACTGCTGCACCGTGACTAGACCCGCGGATCCGAGTATGATATTAATGGTGCAAGGGTGCACACCTAACCGTGCAACATTACCCTCAGTTTCGCTGTGTCTACGCTAGTTTTGGCCGCTCTATTTGTAATTTTACCCTACAACGGTACAACGAAGACGATCCGTGATAAGATCGGGCCGACTGGCTTATTGCATCTTTGGCCACACCTCAGCATGGCTAGTCTCAGAGATACCATTCAATAAAAAATCGTCCACAATACTCTTGCCTACGCCCAAATTCTTCGCGAATTTCCTAGAGCACACCCCCTTATGCAAAATGGTGGGTCCAGTAAGAGTGTAAGAATTTCCCTGCCAAGGTTTGCACTAACCTCGTAGGTAACATGCCTAGGAGGGTGCGGGTGGGGATCAAGGCCAAAGGTCGGAGGGCTATGTACTAGAAACGTAGTTGTAAAGTTGGCTCTCTCTGCTTGGAACTATTTGTCCGGATGTACCCCCTGTTTAGCTTCTGGGATATGAGTTAGATCCAATGTACTATTCTGGATTTTTGTACTGTGCACACATTCACTATATCTCCCACCCAAATTGTACCACCATTAAACATTAAGGCTTAATGTATAATGGTCTTAAAGCCAAAAAACTCAAATTAATGAGAAACATACGGACAGTTGTTTCCGTCACTGTATCTTCCGTAATGATGACATTGTCGAATGACGTGGACGATGTAGTGAAGAACCCATTCATCAAACGCGAGGTCGTTCGTGTCACATGCGAGATCACGCGCATGTGTCCCATGAAAGTTAGCGAACTCCATCAACAAAGTGACAAAATCAGGCGTGGAAGCGTAATGGTGACGAATATTGCTCGAAGATGGGTGATGGAACACGTCGGAAGGGTCAGACGAAATCTGCAGCGCAACTTGCCCTTCTCCCCCCCTCCAAGAAGAAACAACTCCCAACTTCCCAGGTAAAACTCCAGGAAACCCATTGCTCCATGGTAGTTTAAATTATCCCACGCTACTACTTAAAATCCCATAACTCTGCTTCGAACACGCGACTAAAAATACACCAGCATGTAGATCTCCTAAACTGCTTCAAAGTGGAAAACTCCTTCAGGGTAAACCGCTACAAGGGTTTTTGAAACTCAGAAGTAACTGCTTTGGGAAGACTCCCATACGAACTGAAAATTCTGCACGAGTAGGAACACTGCTTGCGAGCTGGTCCCAACACAGCTCCAACAGTACTTCTGCAAAATCTTTTCGCTTCGATACTGCTGCTGTCGATTCGGCTTGCGAGGCGGGATCGCGTTCACACAATCGTGCGAATCAGGCGAATTGATAATGTAGGCGGCATCGGGTGGTGACGAGAGGCTGACGACAATGACGGTGGAGAGTAACCGTTACTATCCCGCTCCATTGGAAAACCTCGAATGGAACCCATGGTTGAATAACGCCAGCTGCATCAATATCTTTGTCCGTGCACGCCGAAAAAATCAGGAAGAACCGAAACTGCTGCTGCGCTTCTCCTCCTCCATGCACCCAGAATATTCTGAGAATATCGGTCGATGTCGCTCATACCCCTGAAGATAGGGGCACAACTCCAGCTGTAATCCCTTTAACTTCTCCTCAAAACCACCGAAAATGTCGGAATTCCACGGTACTTTGAAAATACCACAACTCCGCTTCATGGCTACCTGTAAAAACACTCAGGCATCACGGCGTCATTTAGCACCGACCCACAGTTTCTCCACCAGCTGTACGTATGAACTGAACCCTTTATATTAGGGAACATTGGAGTCCACCGCCTCGGCATGATGTTTTGGCCGTCGATCAGGGTCAATGCG